GAGGCTCGGGGGAACTGCGGCCCCGCACAGCCGGACGCGGCCGGGGAGAGGGAGTGTGCAAGATCGGGTGCTAACACCGAGTCAGTACATGTGCGCGCGCGCACACACACACACACACACACACACACAGAGTCAAGCACCCGTTTCAGCCAACTCCGACAATGGACTTCGTAAACAACGTGATCTGAGTGTTACTACCCAGTGTCGTAGCCGTCATGCTTTGTGCAAGTCCCAGCCCCTGCGTGTGCATGCGTGTGTGCGTGTGTGAAACAAAACAGATTTCAAACACCTTCCATGACTGTGGGGACAGTAAACCTGAAGTTCATCGGGCGGCCGACGGCCTGGAACCGAGGCACTGCTGGCGCTGTGCTCTCGAGACCCGATTTCCTTTCGCAGAGAAGTCTGGGTTAAGGTCTTCCACCCGGTCGGATGCAGCCCGTTCACACCGGGAAGGATAACCTTCACGGAGGGGCAAAGGAGTGTGGATGTTAACCTTTCCAAAATACCTTCTCGGAATGACTAGACCAGCGGGAATAACCAGCCGGCACGTGAGACCGACCCTCACACCTGCGATATGCAGAGGTGTTCAGAGTGCTCGCGGCCCTGGGCGTCCGCACCTGCCTGGAGCCGCCTGCAGGGCCGCACCGCGACCCGGGAGCTGGGCTTCCCGCACGCATCGCTGCTTGGAAACGCTCGCGATTGGAGGAAGGTACAGAAATGCACGGAGGTCGCGTCTCTGCCCCGCCTCTCTTGCGCCGCTGTCACAGTCAGACCTGGAGACCAATGCTGGCGCGCCCCCTAGAGGCTGGCTTAGGTGTCTACAGTTTCACTGTGTGTGTGTGTGTGTGTGTGTGTGTGTGTGTGTGTGTGTGTGTGTGCGCGTGTGCGCGCGCGCGCGTCGCTATGAGTTTTAGTAGAGATTTAGTTTTATATTCCCCTCAATCTGACGGCACCTGGCATGGCCACGAGGCTCCTCGAAGCTGCTCCTGTGCAGACTGATCTCGCTGTCCACATTTGTATCGCGAAGTAGTGTTCCACAGTACTGATTTTCAGCCACTCACCCGTGGAAGGAAATGTGCAGTCTCTAGATTTGGCAACTACAGACACAGCTGTTGTGAGTACTTGTGCAAAACTTGTTGCATAAAAACAAGTTTGCATTTCTCTGGGATCTGTGTGCAGAGTGTAATTGTTGGGTGTGATGGAAAGCCCCATTTTTAGTTCTATTTATTTATTTATTTGGAGACACGGTCTTGCTATGCAGTTCAGGATGGCCTCGAGCTCACTTTGTAGCCCAGGCTGGTCTTGAACTTGCAGTGATCCTCCTGCCTCAGCCTCCCGAGTGCTGGGATTATAGGGGTGCACCACCATACCCGGCTCCATTTTCAGTTTTAAAAGGAACTTGCAAACCATTTTCAAGAGTGCTTGTCCCATTCTGCATTTCTGCCGCAGCGTAAGCATGGTCCGTCTCCCTGTGTCCTTGTCAGCATTTGGTGGTGTCGTTATTTTCTATTGTAGCCACTTGTCGGGGTTTAGATACGTCTTGTTGGATTCATACCTTTAATGTTCTTGGGAGCAGTTGCAAATGATAATGTGCTTTTCCCTTAGTGTCCAC